ATCAACACTTTTTAATTTTTTTTAATTTTTTTTAATTTTTTATAATTATTTGGTTCCATTTCTATATTAAATAAGCTCTTTTTTAGTTATTTATAATATTTAAACTTCAAAATATCTTGGTATGTACTATTTTATAAATTTGACTTCATCATTCTTATATATTAGAGCTCTTTGTGATAATTTATGATCAGAAAGCTCTTTCACACTTTTAATGAAATAAATAACAAAATTTTCATAAAAGATATATTTTCATAAGTTATACTCTAATCTCTAATTTCATTACCTCTATTTCAATTAACCGTACCAAACTAATCCGGGGTTAATTAGCATTACTATTTTGATGAGTTGTAGTGGGATAAAGGATATATCAAAATGAATCCCTAGATTTTCAGAAAATTTATATTACCTATATATCTATATAATCTTGAAGCCCACCCTCTCTATTGATAGCCATTTGGACTCCATGTAAGATTCCACGTAGGATGTCACATAGGATCTTAAGAGCTTTATTAATATATGATTGTCATGTAGGATTTCAGTTGCTGCTCTAGAATTGCTATTTATTAGTATTAATAGCACATATTGAGCATTCAAATGTCTAATTAAAAGATATATAGATTCATGTTAGTCCCTTCACAATCACCTAAATATTAATAACAATTAAATAGTGGCATCCCAAAGGTCTCAAGAAAATTTGTAAACTTTGTTTATATGTAAATTGCTATTTATTAGTATTAATAGCACATATTGGGTATCCAAAGGTCTAATTAAAAGATATATAGATTCATGTTAGTTCCTTCACATTCACCTAAATATTAATAACAATTAAATAATGGCATCCCAAAGGTCTCAAGAAAATTTTGTTTATATGTATAGATTAAATATTCAGTTTTGCATATCTTTTGAATTCGAATTCGAATTGATTTTGCTTCTGCTTTTAGAGATTGTTCAATGTAGAAGAATTGGCTTTGTACAACGGAATTGATGACTAAAGACCGATTCTCTTAGGCATTCTTGGGTATTAACTTTTATTCTTTGTTATATGTGACTTTACCTATAAGAACTGGCTTAGCAGTTACTTATTTTGATGTTTATTTGGTTGTGCTTTTGAATTAGATCGGTGTTTGATGTAATGAAAGAAAAATCTCATTACCATCATTTTGTTGGAAGGTTTGTTGTTGGTTCTTTCACTTAAATGCTATTCTTTTGTTTCTAAGTAGTACATAGAAATTTGAGCATATTCAAAGTTCTTCGAAGAGCCTAAAACGTTGTTGGATTCATTGTATTATATAAATTATGTCTCTAGACCTGCTCTGATAGCTTTTTCTTTTCCTTGCAAACTTAGAGATGCTTCCCGTGCATTTGTTTCATGAAACTTTGTGGGTACAAATGGTCAATTGTTATCTTTATTTTATGTTTTAGTTTTAATCTTCTTGATGACTTCTATGCAGGTATCATTGCACCTTTGCTATGACCTTCTTCTCATCCATGTCAGTTGTAGAATATTACCTTATAAAACGTTTTCCTGTCCCTTACGGTAAGCGACTCACTGACACCCAAATTGCACAATTATTTGTACTTTTGTAATTTCTAAACATCAGAAAAACACCTTTCCAAAGAAACGCGCAATGTAATTTGCATCTAGATGTTGGATCTATGGTTTATCTAATTTCAATTGATTTTTTACTTTCTTTGGCACCTCTCTACTTTGTTGCTGTGGCTACCGTTGCTGCTTTAATTGGGTAGTATATTGTGAGAAAACTGATTATTGTTTTGGGAAGGGCATGCTTATCATCTTCATTTTAGCCTTTACCATATTTGTTAATGCAATATCTTTAGGTTGGTGTTGATCTCCCTGTTGCCTAGCTTGATAACACCATTTTCATTCAGATATCATTTTACTTGGACAAAGTCCGAAACTAATGTTTTCTTCTGTTGATAGGTGGGTTGGCATATCAAACATGATCGAGAAGATTGAAGCGCATGACTACATGGGATTTGATAACCTTTGCAAATAGGCCATACCAATAACCCGCAAATACGTGCATTTGCATACCACTAAAACTTTACAATAAAACTATTTAAAAAACAACCACTAAACATACCTGCGCAACGTTTGGGCCTTCCATCTTGTTCCATCTTGTTTAAGAGATAATTCAATGATTCTTTCTAATTCAATGGTCTATCGATTATAAAAACAATATGGAATATTGAAAAAATAAAACTTGATTAGCATAAGTATTAAGAAATAAAAAAAAAAAAACATAATTTCAAATTCATTTAAAAAATTCATTAGTCAACAACCTGTCGAAAACCATTTATCTGTAGTATAGAAAGTTGTGTGGCGGTCTTTTAGAATTAAAAAATAAATAGGAAATTAAAGCAATAATTTTTATTACAATCGGAAATAAAAATTATCGACACAAGAAGGTCAAGGCAAATAGTGTGAAAGTTATGGTGTGGGAGCTGATCATCCAATGAATGGGTGAAAATAGATGTGATAAGGATAATAAATGAAGCCAAAAATCAATAAAGAAAATCAAAATTTAAAAAAAAAAACGCAGAAAATTAAAAGAAGTAGCGCAAGGGCCAGATGTAGGATGTGTTAGGAGCACCTACGAGAAAAAACTATACTTCCGGTTGTTTCACTGTTTTCATCCTATCTTAAAAAATGAAAAATGTATTTACTTTAATATTCTTCAAAATTCAATCATATTCTATTCAACTCAAAATTTTTAATAATTACATTTCTCAATAAAAGTTTTAAAATTAATAAAAACAGTCCACCCATCTAATTCTTTGCCAACAGTGGGCTACTACTGCTAATAGGAGTAACTACTAAAGCTCTTATCCAATCGGTAGTTCCAGGTTCCCGAAGGATTAGTTGAGATACATGTAAGATAATACAGACACATTGGTCAAAAAAAAAAAAAAAAAAAATTATAGAGTTACGAGGTTTAGCTATTTGACTTCGGTTTGGTACATGTAAAATTATATCATCTTAGAAATAGGTCCATATCTGTTTTTGGTCGAAATAGGTTTTTTTTTTTTTTTTTTTTTTAATTGTTTTTGTTATGAAAATTTTTTCTTAATCGCTAAAGTCTGATACACAAAATTGCATAAGAAACAACAAAGGAAATAATGAGATAAATTAAAAAATATAATCATAATTATTTAATACATATACAGTAGAACCTCTTTACAGTTATACTCTATATAGGAATAAAATCCATGTAGTCATAAAAACTTCCGGTGGTCCCAACTTGAGCCAGTTATAAATAAGAATAAATTTCATATTGTGATAAGTTATAATTTTTTAAGGTCCCAACTTAAGGAACTTGCCTCTACATAGTAATAATTATATGCATATTGCAAAAAATATATGTTATGTTACATTAAAGGTTTAAGATGAAATAAAATATTTATCTAAAGTTGTTTGGGAAAATGGTTTATGCTTTAAAGTTATTACTACATCTTTTATCTTGTGGGTATATAATAAACCACCAGCATGGGCACTTTCTTATTGAAGTCAAAATATTTCTAACTCTCAAACATTTTTAGAGCTTCTTGACATGAAATTTTTGGTATTTCCGTACTATCATCCTCAAGATTATCACCTTCTTCTTATTGTTTAATTCCAGTAATGATTTCTTTTTTAGTTAAAACATACACGACTTGTTGTTTATTTGAATTATTGAGGAAGACATTAATATCCATTTGATTAGTGTAGTAAAGTTGTCGAATTTGATCACTTAATTTTATAATGACGTACACTTTGATATCCATTTTCGTACTATTCTAATGCTACTAAAACAATGAATTGAAATCTTAATACTACTACAATATGAATTATAAAATAAGAAATCAAAACAATAATTCTTGTAATTACATCTCTATTAAATTATAACCTCTTTATAATAATAAATTTAATTGGTTCCAACATTATGACTATGGAGAGGTTATACTGTATATAATCTGATTTTACAATATATGCAAGATATGATTTTATATTTATACATATTACAAATACTTTTTTCAGACAAACATAAGTAATACATTTTTCACTTTCACAATTTCAAAATATTAGTTTTTGACAAAGATGGGAATAAATTTTTTTATTTTCTAAATATTCATCATTTAAATCAATTATTTACAATATTTGCAAAAAATACAAAACAAATTTATAAATAACACATCCTTCGATTTCATCAGTGATTTTCGATTTCAAAATGCTAAATCACTTGTGACAATTACATAATTCAATGTCACATGTTCTGTTGAAAAAGATTATTAATTACGTACAAAGTTTGTAAAAATTTGCCCTTCATAGACATAAGTTTCAAATCATTCAATTTAGGGCTATAAATTCCAAACATTCAATTAGGGTTTTATTAACTATGTGGGGGGATAAATATGTAATTATATAGATTTAAATTATTCCTTTTTAAAAATAAATTAAATCTAGAATAAAATTTTTAAAATCTAAAAATATCAGCAAATTTAGAAACTGTAGAAGAAAACAAAGAAACAATTAAATAATTGAAAACTTTGTAGGCTAATTAATAATCTCCCTTCTGGTAAATATTTAGCGAAGTCGTTAATAAAATAATTACCCAAAAAAAAAAGTCGTTAATAAAATTACTAAACGAGCCGAAAGTCCCAAATTATTATCATTAAAGTCTAGAATACCCTCGGGAACTTTTGGAAATTGCCCTTTATCTTCCTGATTCCTCTAACTTTACGAAATCCGGATCGTGCCAGTTGCTCCAAATTTGAAAATTTGAAATACCAAACCTCAAACGGTCATCAGAATCAAATCTACTTCATCCCAGCCGTTCATCCACTCTACTATCCACCATCCGATCTATCCTCACTCTCATTTCAATCTTTTTCTTTCTAACTAAACACCATTCCTTCATTTCTCTCCAAAGTCCCAAAATCTCGCTTACTTTCCTCTTCAAAACCCTGAACATCATTTTCTCTTCTAGAACTTAGATGACATGCCGTTTATATCGGAGACGGCGAGTGCAATAAAGAGTAGGTTTGGTTTCCACAGCCGTTCCACTTCCTCGGAGACCGTGCTGTCGGCGCGGACATCTCCTGATCTTTCTCGCAAGTCGGCGGTAAGAGAGAATCCTTATGGCCAGTCGCACGCTGCCACGTCGATAGTTCATAGTATCGGTGACTTGGAGGACAATGCCGCCGCCAGTGCTGGTTCATCTCAGATCTTCGAGGTTAATGAAGATCCATCTTTCTGGAAAGACCATAACGTTCAGGTAAGTTTTGCTCATTTTAGTGAAACTATGTGATTTTCCTTTTGATGAAGTGACTACAACTATGTGCTTTCTATATTTTAATTTGGTGATTATTACTTGTTGGTAATTATAAGGTTCGTCCTCTCAATAATTCTGAAATATCAGCACAAGGGCACAGCAAGTGTATTAGGCAAGAGAGTTGTCAGACAATTACTGTTGAAAAATGGCTTTTAGCAAAATCACATGGGGTAGAAATGATAATGGAGAAAGGTTTAGGGACTTATATGTAATAGGCCAAGAAAAGGTTGTTTGTCCCACATTGATTAGGATTGAAAAGTGGGAAACTTTTGGGGCCTATATATAAGGACCCATATCATTGTTATTAGGCATCCCAAGTTGTAATTCCATTATACTTCTTTTGTTTAGGNTCTCTCTCAAAAAGACAAGTTTATAGTTGGTGGCTGGTGTTTTTCAGTTTTAGAAAATTAATAATATCAAAGTTTTGATCTATATGTCTTCTTTGATATCACTCTTTGTCTCACTCCAAAGCTGGGTAGCGACATAGAGAACTTCAAGATTCATAACTGAATCTTTCCTCTTACATCTCTTGGTTGCATCACTGGTTTGTTTTCTCTGTGCTCTGAGCTCTATTTCATATCTTCAATGTTTTTCATGTATAGAAATGCTTGTATGTTTGCCTATAACGGAAAAAAATCTGATGAAAAGGAAACTGTTACGTCTTGCTGTTGATATGCAATAGGGTAAATCTGTAACGTAAAAATTGAAATATTTCGGGAAAAAAACTTCTGATGTGTTTAGCATAAAATGGTGCTACTTGTTTGACTCAGGAGATGATTTTGAGTAACCTCATTACTTTTATTTCCCGAAACATTTCCAACAATTTTATCGAGATGTTTTATTGAATGATTCTGTGTAGAACTTAGTATAGCTGTTTTCTTTTGCCTAAAAGCTTTTAAAATAAATTGTTATTTCTTGTTAAAAAAAACTAAGTTCAACTTTTTTAGCAAAAAATTTAACTATCCAGCATAAGCTAAATGTATATTTCCATTTTCTGTGTCAAAGTAGAACTTGGAGGGATGTAGCTTTGAATAAATTTTTTTGGTATAACGGCTAATGAAGGATTAAGACGAGAGAAAATTATCCAAATGGCTTTAAGCACATAAAATTAACACATCTATGGTCTTATTTTGGGCAGAACAGAATGACCCCATGGAGTTCGATTTTGTTTATAAAAGAAAGTTCTAAGAGAAGATCATATGTTTTAAAACATCTAAGTCTTTGTCTTTTCATAAGACAAGTTCAAAGGTGTACTGCAATTAAAAAAAAAAAAAAAAAAATTGTTTGTTTGTTTATTGTTATTATTATTATCTATTTGTAAAAAGTTACCGTATAAAGTCTATGTAATTCTATTTATAAAGTTAGTGTATATATATAAAAAGAATATTTGTTTACTGGGAAAAATTTAGATAATTTATTTCTAAAAGGAATACTTTTAATTTTCCATGGTTGTGTAACAATGTTGGATGATGTATTTGATACAGTCCTTATGATTAAGATGTTGTAACTTAAAATTTTTACGCAAATAATTAATCATGCATCACAGTCCATTGGCTTAGAAATAATTTATATATACGTTTTCTAAACTATTAGTATATGATGGATTTTAGTTCACAATTTGCTTATAAATTTAAGTTACATCATCCCAATCCTTAGTTATATCAAAATTATATACATGTTCTTGTTTTGACAGTGCAAAAATTCATTGAAGTTGCTCGTTAATTGTTTTCTTATTTTGTGAGAACACAGTTATTGCTAAGGTTGAGCTAAAAATTGTTAAATTTCTGGATTGAATTGAAACTAGTTGATGGGGGAGAGGTATTATGAATAACCTGGTATACTCATTAATTAATTAATGATAAAATTTCTTGAAAGATCCACATTTGCTTGCTCATTCTTTATTTTCTTTTGGATTAATTTTTTAGATGATGGGTGAATTATTCTTTGAAACGTGTACTGCTTAGTTTTGAATCCATATATATTCAATATATATTTTAATAATGCACATTGCAAGCAACTGAACAAACACGGGTTAATTGACGATTTGTACTTTGTGTCTACAGTATAAGCAAAACCCTTGAACGATACCAACGTTGCTGCTTCAATCCTCAGGACAACAGTATCGAACGTGAAACACAGGTTTATGTTTCCTCTTTTTTTTTTTTCCTCAAACTTATAATGCACGTAATAGTAGTCTCTTTATATGTAACATAGCATTGTTTGTTCAGGATAATCGGTCTCATATATACTTGAGTTCATGCTGAATTTTTCATGTTTCATCTTTTTAATATTAAGTTGAACAGTTGATATCATCGGACCACTCAACATAATAATGTTTGTTTGTTATTTGCTTCCATAAATGTTATGGTGATTGATATATGTTTGCCAATAGAGTGGACAGATTCATACTTTAATTAGTTCATAACTCTTCACATTTACTTTTGTGCTCCTAATTACTACGTTAATTTTCTGGCAGAGCTGGTACCAGGAGGTAACAAAGTTGAAATCAAAATATGAATCTCTTCAACGCACACAAAGGTTTCACTAATTATATACATATCTTTCAGAAAAACAAAAATGCTGTTAGCTGTGTTTGTTATTGCTTTGTAACGGCATATATATAAATACCACCGTAAGGTTTTATAATTGATCTATAAATTGCTTAGGAATTTGCTTGGAGAGGATCTTGGACCACTGAGTGTGAAAGAGCTGCAAAATCTTGAGAAACAGCTTGAAGGAGCTCTTGCACTGGCTAGGCAGAGGAAGGTACATGCATGTGTTCAACTACGTATATACAAACTATTATTTATAAATATTATTCTACTTTTGTTATGGCTGTACAAGTATATATGTATATAAAGCTATAAATATTGCAAATGATGATGCGCAAGCAAATGGTACAACTTTTAGAGTCATAAAGAACTATATCTTTAACTGCTGGGTGCTCGTTATCGAACACCAAATAAGAAGCTCACATTGCTAATTAAGAAGTGAAAATTTTAGATTTATTATTCTTTCCTTTTGTGCCTAACTGCAGAATCAGATTATGGTCGAGCAAATGGAAGAACTTCGCAAAAAGGTATGCCAATTCATATCTCATCTTTGTATGTAGTGTCCTTATATATATAGGACATCTTGGTGACTCAGGATATGTAATTTCTTCAAAAATATAAAAACACATACAAACCAGTATGTGGACTAGGGTTTGTGTTGAAATTTGAACTATAATTAGATTAATAACATTTTTTTTTTTTTTTTTTTCAAAATTTGAAGTAGGCTTGATATATATATTTGCCTAGAAACTTGTGTTGATAAGCTTTATGCACTTATCAGCCTTACGAACATAGGATTAATCTGAAGTAATGATATACTTGATGGAGGAAAAAGAGAGTAACATTTCATTTCTTTTTCGTGACAGGATTTCCTTATTCCCTCGTAATCATAACCTTAAGAAGATAATCACGGGATTCTAGAATGGTTCTAAGATGATTTTTCCCTTAATTGATTAGATCATAATCTATAAATTTGGTTTGTCACCTGTTTGAGAGTTAATGCATGCTGCTTGAAAGTTTTAAGGCTAAGAGCTAACATAACGTACACAATAGTAATTTCCCTTTATATAATTTAGACTGCAACTGTTTTACGTTCAGTTTTTTATGATTTCCTGGGCAGCAAAAGAGAATGTGTTTGTTTTATTGAGGCTTTTATGTAAATCTATGTTCGATCTACATCATATTTTGGTGTGATAATTACGACCATCTGGTTAATGATGGCAGGAGCGTCAGCTTGGAGACATAAACAAGCAACTCAAGATCAAGGTTGTTCTTGAACTGTTTTCATTAATCATGACAATTGTTTCTGTCTCGATAATCCTTCAGTAACCATATTTAGTGTTTTTTTCCAGCTGGAGACAGAAGGACTAAATCTGAAAGCCATTCAAGATTTATGGGGTTCTAGTGCAGCAGCTGCTGCTGGAAATACCAGCTTCCCTCTCCATCCTTCACATGAAAGCCCTATCAACTGTGAACACGAGCCTATTTTACAGATTGGGTACACTCCTATGATGCATATAAATA